ATTATATGTTCAGAAGAGTGATATTTTCGCATCCCAAAAACATTGTAGTGGAAAAAGTCACACGTCGTTATCAATTGGTCCTATTTTCTCTCTGTTCGTATCAGTGCGCGCCGTCATTCAGACAGCGAGCCCAACAACAGCCATGTCTCCCTCCGCCGCGGAAGGGGATGCCATACAGATTCATGTCAAAAATACCGAACTATCCTTTTAAGGCTTTACTGCAAAAACGATATACGAATAAGTAAAGATTTCTTAAATTAAGTCTATTTCCCTTAATTTAAGATAATAATAATAATAAATAATAAAAATAAGATAATTTGCCAATAGAATGAGTATTTTTACCCTTAAAATAAGATACTTAGATAATATGCACTTGAAATAAGACAAAACAATTGTTTTTTTTTCTTATTTTAAATTTAATCCAGCGAAATGTGTTTCACTTACCTCCTCAATTCAAGAAAAAGTGCATTTTTTAAAAAGAAAAAAATGACTTATTTAGATTTCAATTTTTTGCAGTGTTGGAAATTATCTATTTGATTTGTCTCATTTTGAAAAAAAAAAAAAATTACCTTTAGAGTAAAAGTCCTGCTGATAAACAGATCTGCACCCTATATTCAAACACTTTTAGGCCTCTGACAGTTTTTTTTTGTCTCCAAAATTTGCTGAAAAATATACTCACCATTGCATCACCACTTCTATGTTTCACAGCTCGGCTGTGCGGTGTTTTACAACACATAGCATTGTATGTCTCTGCTTTGGTAACATTTATTGAGAGTATTTTGTCAGCATGATCATCGCTCGTTTCAAACAAAATCAAAGAGTTTTTATGGATTTCTTTCACCCTGACCTTCAGCTGTCACTCTTCCAAAATGAATTGACTGCTTCTCCCTTTTCAGCGTTGGATGTCTGCAGCTCCTCCAGAGTCACCATGTATTTCTGTGCTGTTTCTCTGAATAATTCTGTACTTGCCTGGCTGCTCATTTGAAGTTGTGTAATCCTATTTCCATTTTCAAATGGATTGAACGGTGCTCTGATGGATATCGTTGCCGTTTGTTAATTTTTCAGATATTTTTACTGGATTCAAGCAGAGAACAAATTACACAGTGATTGATTATTTGGACTATTAACTGATTCAATGATGTCCAAAGTTGATTGGTTGCACACCACATTCCATCTTTGTTGCATAAATTCTGAGTTAAATCAATTAAGCTATGTGCTGGTAGTAGGACAGAATGCTCAACTCTTACAGAGGTACATTTCAAGGCACGTTATGTTAATTTAATGTCCTATAAAATGTCAGAATGTGCTGCAGTTAAGGCTGCCCAATGTTGGGAAAACGGGATATAATCAGTAAATGCACAATGAGATTGATTGGGATTGACCCATAGAAGTACATAGAAGTATCCCTCTGCTGTCCTTAGTGTTTAGTTCACTGAAATCTAAATCAGTTCTAAGATTAAAAGACATGGAAACTCCATCTAGTTGGAAAATACGTTATAGGTGAGAAGGTAGGCTGAAAAATCATGTTCTACCAAATACTTAATGCAATGATGTCACTGTTTCATTATATTGTGCAGCTCTAATTAGACTATTATAGTAATGGAAACATTTTTAGTTTATTCTTTTTGAATATTTGCTTCTTTTTTTTTTTTTTTTTAAGACACAGCAGTTTACCACCTTTTCTTCTGTAAAAATCAGGATCATTTTACAAGATGGAGGAGACCAGTCCTTCAATTCTGTGGGAAGACCAGCGGGCTCAGAGTATAGAGGAGAAGGTTGAATGCCTCAGAAGGAAGCTCAAGTACTATTTCATGAATCCCTGTGAGAAATACCACGCAAGGGGACGAAAACCTTGGAAACTCGTGCTTCAGATTGTCAAAATCGCTATAGTTACCATCCAGGTTTGTAGCTTTCTCAGATTTAATTAAGATATTTGCCGTAGAGTGTGTTTATTTTCAGAAGCCTCGTCTAAAACTCATTTTGGTGATTACAGCTGGTATTGTTTGGACTGAGCAACCAGATGGTTGTTACTTTCAAAGAAGAGAACCTGATGACTTTCAAGCACATTTTCCTGAAAGATTATGTTGATGGAGGCATGGATACTTACTCTATTTACAAACAGGCTGATGTGTATGATCACATGGACTACATTATTGCTCAGGTAAGAGATTTTAATTGTTTGGAAGAATTCTCTTCTATTTATGCTTTTTTTTTTCTTTTTTTTTTTTTTCATACTGGTGTTAATTATTGATAGAATTTTATGACTCAAAGCCCTGACATAATGAGAAAGACTGAAGACTGTATGCTATCACGGGACTGGACTTTGTTCACCACTATTTTTTATTTTTTTTTAATATTATTGTGCTGTTCTGTTAATGAGTGGTTAACGTAGGTTTCTGACTTCTATCTCCACAATGCATGCATCTTTATTATCCCCTCAACTGTTGTCAAACAGATTCTAATATTTAAAAAATGTCCATTTCCAGTATGGACTTCTGCATAACATCACTGTTGGGAATCATGAATATGAGAAAAATGGCACTTCCTACACCCCGCTGTCACTATGTCAGGAGTTCTACAGGAATGGCAGCATCTACCCTGGAACTGAGACCCTTGAAATCGATGCTCATGTTGACACTGGTAAGCATTGATATTGCTGCAACTGAAGATTTTTGATACTAATTAATTTTACATTAGTAAACAGTGGTTGCAAGTTAATGCAACCGAAGCACTGGTACTGCTCAATGACTGCTCATCCAATACTTAAAAGATCAATCAAGTATAGAAGATGGATGGATGGATTGCTTTAGAAGATATCTCACTTCTCTTGAAAATAGATCAACCAAATTTAACTTTACAGCAGCTATCAAAAAGATATTCAGCATTTATTACAGCTTAAGTATCTTTACATCCATCCAAAAAAAGGAATATTACTTAAGAGTTTGAAGGGATTTCAGTGATTTAACATAAAGCGTGAAACTCATGGATTCATTATACAGAATAAACTTTAGATTTTTTTATTTCTGATTGGTATGATGAGTAACTACAGCTTATAAATAGGATATTAATTAGCCCACAGAGTCGAAAGCAAGAGTGCCGACTGCAGTGATAGACTGAAGCACTGAGAGAAGGCTATAAACGGCGGGGCCATAGAAGATGGCTGCTCAGGGGTCTACACTTAGATCCAGAATTTGAGTGAACTGGTAGAAAAAGTGCACAAGCACCAAAACCACAGTAATGGCTGAATCGTACAGCAGAGCCCATTTTATTAATAATACTATTGAGTTGAAGCTGAATCCGATGCTTCAAAAGCTGCTACACCTACAAAGTTTTAGATGATTTAATATTCCGATAAGCTTTTTGTAGATACTGATGTGATTTTTTAGCAAAACTTAGTATTTTGTTACACTAT